CGACAGACAGCATCGATCAATAGGTGGTTTGCAAACTACTTCACTACTATGTGGTGCCACCAACAGTTGTAAACCTTATCCAACAGTTGTACGATAACGTCGCATGCCAAGTAATCCGCAACGGGAAACTCACAGAATCTCTTGACGAAGTGAAGACGGAGTACGACAAGGCTGCCTACTATCTTCAATGATCTTCCTGATTGCAAGCGGTAGACTGGATAATGCGATGGACAGCGGCGAGCAGCGAGGAAACAAGCATAAAATGGACCAAAACAAAAACTTGGAGGATCTGGATTTCGATGTGATATATATCTCTGATTTCATACAAACTGGAAGATATTCAAGTTAAAAGCAACAAATCGGCAAAAGAAGCACCAAAGATAGGAAGGAATTCAGGTGAACATAGAGAAAACAGAGGTGATGAAGATTCCTGGCCAACAACACCAACAACAACAGACAACAATCGGCATAAGTGACAAAATTCTAAAAGAAGCAACCTCCCCTACCTACCTGCCTACATACCTACTTACCTACCTGGGAAACATAGTTTCAACTATAGGCGTGCGGAACCGATGAGGATATCAAAGCGAAGATCGAGAAACCAAGGTAAGCCTCCACTACTCTCAAGTCTGTGTTCAGATTAATAGCACCACTCAGCATGAAAAATAAGACTCGGATTCCCAACTCCAATGTGAATTCAGTGCTACTTATTTTACGGATCAGAGATTTGGCGCGTTATGAAGAGCACCTCAAACAAACTACAGACCTTCATCAACAGCTGTCTTCCCTCAGTACTACTAAAGACCAGATGGTTGGCCAGAAAAGATCTGTGGAAATGAACGAACCAACCCAATATGAACCAGTTGTGCCACAAATATGCATTAAGGAAATGTGGAGGTAGATTGACCATACTCTGAGAAAACAAACCATCAAGTGAGTGACATCACATGCCAGGCCATTGCTCCAGTGGAATCCGGCAGAATGGGAAGCGGACAATTGGTCGTCAGTGCGAGGATGACATGGAGGAGGTTATGCGAAGGAGAAATGAAAGCATGTGGGCAGATGTGGAACCAGGTGAAAACTTTGGCAGAGAACTGAACGCAATGGAGACGTGCCGCCGAAGCCCAATGTTCCTCTAGGAACTAAAGGAAACAATAATAAATAATAATAGCTATCTGCCTAACAGCATGGTTGAGGTAAGTTTGAATTTTTGAAATACTACTATTATTGGATAGAACTGTACGCGTCTCAAGGAGGTTTTTATCAGCAACACAGTAGGACTCAAAGATCTCTTTCCTAAGTTTGGACCACAATGAGTTTGTTTTAGTCATAACAACACCAACATACATTTTGATGAAATGATACTGGAGAAGACAACTCAGAGTGAAACAGTAGAAGACCAAAGAAATGCTCATCACTGACACAGCCATTGATGAGTGCACGGGTTTCGATCACTACCATGTGGTCAGCAAGGACAATGTATGAAGTGACTGGTTCCTAACTAATCATTTCAGCCAATCAATAGTATACACTAGTTCAGAATACCTAATGATTGTTAAGTAGAATTCAATATCGTATCAAGGTTACCACAAATGCACTATATAACCTTCAAATTATGGTAGTATGTAGTCCCGTATTAGTTTATTTATAATATAGATTAAAACAGTAATACAACAATAGACTATTTCGAAACTTCATCCAGCCAATAAAAATTTCAAATTGGGATTCATCTAATGAACAAAGTAATGTAGTAAGATAATTGAGGAAAACGTTGGATCCTCAGACTACTATTGACGGACTAGGACTCAACTCAATCACCAGCCCATGAATTCTAACTTCTAACCACTTGTGATATTTAACGCGACAAGTATTTGTCCTCACTCTCGATTGGGTTTAATCCACTGGCCACGACATCTTATTAGAAATCCAGGCAACTTTGTAATGCAGCCAGTCGGTGGTGAGCATTAAATTAGTTATCAGAGGGTACGTTTATAAGGATTTGATTCGTTTTGAGTTTGCCTGCAGATTGATATTAGTTAAAGTGGCATTCTCTACGAAAAAAACAGTGAAGGATTTGAAGTGAATACAGGATTGAGACAAGACCGCCACCTACTATCACCAACGATATTCTTAATTGTATTGAACTAGATTATACGTCAGACCGTGCATGGGAGCGTGAAGAGAAGAATATGTTTGACTGATATTACACAATACCAAAGACATACTAGAGAAAATAAACAAGCTGACAGGAAAGGCAAGCAGTAAATACAGGACTTCAAGTGAACGTAGAGAAGACAGAGGTGATGAAGATAACAAGAAAACAACAACCAGCACCAATCGCTATCAGCTGAAGAAATCCGAAAAGGGTCACTTCCTTCATTCATCTTGGAAGCATCATTTCAACTACAGGCAGTTGGTACGCATGAAGATGTCAAAGCTAGGATCGGAAGGCAGGGCACACCTTCATCATGCACCCCGCCCCATCATAAATAATAAAATTTGAATTTTTAGCATCAATGCTAGGTAAGTTCTTTAAAATGGTAAAGAAACATGGCATGTCATGAAAACCTCACATGTTACCTCCAACTGTGTATACCGATTCACATGTATCTGCGGGAGCAGTTACATTGGAAGAACAGAGAGTATGGCCTATGTCAGATTATGCGAACATGTACCAAGGCGCCTCCGGTTAAAGGGACCGAATTGTTTAAGCTCTTCAATCGCCAAACACCTGATTGAGACAGGACACTGAGTAAATGTGTTGGAATCATTCAAAATAATTAACAGACAAAGTACCTCAAATCTTCTCAAGTTTGCTGAAGCTATAGTAATAAAACGATTGAAGCCTGATTTATGTGTCCAAAAAGAATCCGTTGTTAGACTTCTATTACCCTAGTGACTCAATTCTTAGTAACTCTTTGTTTTCTAATTTTGTTAACATATCTTTTAACTCCCCCCTTTAATTTTTTGCTTGACTATCTTAAGAAAACGTTTTCTTGATCTTCTGAGTTCTGCTCACTGTATTACATAATCAACTCCTCATGTGCGCCGAAATTTTAGGATTTTGATCTTCTCGTATCTAATTGCGTAACTATTACTAATTTTCTTTTGTTACCACCCCAACCACACAACTGTTTATTATTATTTTTCAAGAAACTTCTCTCTAACAAGATATATTTTACTATGACGCTGCGACAATATGCTTGCTAATGGACAAAGCTTTGTTAAAATTGTACACTTTTTATTCTTATTTTATTAAAGAGTTCAGGTTGCACGCAGCTGCCGATGAGAACCCACGAAATAAAATGGATCCAGATTATTCTGCGCCAATGTTTCTTCATTCTTTGTTCAAATTATTATAAAAGGGAATCATTGTATGAAAACCATTCCAAACTGGTCATTGCAAACTTTTACCAACAACTACCTTTGCTCGATAGTGAAGGTCAAATGGCCGGTCAGAAGTAAGCAGTACCAAGAAACCCTGGGAATGAACCTACCAAGAACTTATCATCTAACAAATATTCTGAAGAAGAAAATGGAGATGGATCAGACATACGCTGAGAAGAACAATGAGCGAAATCGCACTCCATGCCATAGCTCGAGTGGAACTTTAATAGGAAACGATGACTTAGGTATTGATCCTAGGATGACATGGGTGAGATTGTATGTGTAGGAGATGAGAGACTATTAGCGATCCTGGTGCCAGCTGAGGAGGGCAGCAGAGAGTAGCATGAAGAGGAGATGTGCTGATGAAGCCCTTTTTTCCCTCGGGACCCAAAGGAACAATAACAAAATTAATAGCAGCTGAGAGCCACTAAAAGTCAGAAAGTAAGTACTGGTCGTAGAGCATTCAGCCACTGGGACTGAACCTAGTGGTGTAACCGGAAGCTCCTAGATTAGAATCCCGGTGGGTGTGCACTGCCTGTGATTTTCGAACTAGACAGAAGAGCTGTCCAGTAATCCTTTGTTTTCAATGGATGTCTTAGTGACATCAGTCTGTGGTCAAACTTGTTACTACTGGCATAACTGGGTAATAATTGAAGTCAGAAGGAAGGTTTCAGTCTTGGCAAGATTCATACTAGCACCTACTTCTTTTACTTTATTCAGTTCGTCTAAGGAGATAATCATATGTAAAAAGTTGAAAGCAGAAGAACACTTTAAACCACCTTACTCATATTGACACTTTACTGGATTTTTCTTTGACCTAAGCCCGTTTTCATCGACAAAGTGAAATTTATCCTGGCCTGTAAAATTCGTATTAGTTATTTGAAAGACAGTGGCGCTTCCCAGTGTATTTACAAATTTATATTTATGAATAGTTATAGGGAAGAACCAGTCGATCTCTGCAGTTAAGTGTTACTGAACGCATTCGTCAAGGGCTGCAAGGTCAGTAAAATAATCCAACTCAAATGATTCTAAAAATAGATTCGCAACGTCATCTACCATTAAGCATGTCATAAGCCTGATTTCAACATTGCTTTTAAACTTATATATAAAACATATTTGGGTCAAACAGTAGTAGTGGTTGAAGTTTTAGCCGCAAAAGATTTTAAACCATGATACGTTCACCACTAAACAGATGGCAAAGAGATGACAGGAGAAATTTTCTGTTTATGTTATTAGGAAGCTTGTTTTTATGACTACAACTCATTGGTGACATAAAAAATGAAATAATAACCAACAGGTTGAGAAGGTCACTAATAAAGAAAAATTAATGTTGGCCAGTTTTAAATGACACAGGATAAACCTGTTTTAGACTCTGGGAGCCATAGGGGTGTAGCTGTCATAGCTCACTATTCCACTGACTTGTGGATTACCACTCAATTTGAAGGGTCGAAAAGGGTTTAAGTGTAGACCTCTTAAAACCCAATGTTTATATCTGTTAGTCCAGGTAGTATCCGATCCCTGTCACAAAAAAGAGAAGGTTTTGTGTGGCGTATCTCATGATGCCCATAATACATCAAATTAATGTTTTAACACACAGTAAAAAAATGACTTACTTTTCAATGTACTACTCATTTGTAATATAGCTTCAGCTAACAGATCAACATTCGAAGATGAAGTATTTTTTGTTCTTGTCGGAGGATAAAGACTACTCTTATTATAATAATCACGAACATTCGACTCAGAGTTAATATTGAATAAACTTTGACGTTTATATTGAGCAGAATAATCCGGATCATTTGTCAACGGTCTACTTCCACCTTGATCACTGTAACGTCTCAATTTATTTGATAAGGAGCTCAAGCCTCTTGAATCTTCAGTATTTACAGTTAATTGATACATTTTACTACCACCCCGACTACTACTACAACTTGCCCTCAAATTTTTATTATTTTTATTATTATTATTCTGAGGATTATATGTGATCGTTGGACATGATAGATCCATATTGTAGCTTTTATTTTCAGTTGGACTTGTCACCATAAGAATTGGTGGTGATAATTCTTGATGTGTTTCATTTGTCAAAGAAAATGTAGTGATTCCAGCAGACGGTGGATTTGTGGTTCTTGTAACAATCTTTGACTGTTCAACATCCAATTTATCAGGTGGAACAACATTTACAGTAGGTTTTATCTCTTCCATGGAATAAAAGAGCAATAAATTTCGCCTTTATTATGATATAATAGTGATCGGTATTAACTGAGAAATAGTGTGATAACTTGATGATTTTATTTACAGTCCAATAGTTCAGTATCTTCTGAACATCACCTTGACAACAAATTGAGGTTGGAAGACTATATGTGAGATTGTATTTTTCTAAAATTCACCTGCGTCTTTCGTATCCGAGGGATTTCTTTTCTACTAATCCATAAAACTTCCTTCAATTAAAAAAAATTAGTGACTTCCACTAGTAGTAAGATAGATTGTAAAATACGATAGTGAACAAAAGGTCATTTGTTTAAATTTTGAAGGAGATGAAAAACGCGCCTTATTCCAAAAAAGAAACTATGATATCATCAACATACAGATATCACCGCCATCGTCATCATCATTTGTGTATCAATAAATTCATCTAAGATCGTTTTGGATCAGGACGATTGAAAAAACAAAACAGCAAACTGGGAGAAATCATAATCATCGTTATTAAACTACCAATCAGAAGAGGAGAAATGCAAATCTACCAATCAGATGCGTCCGTCACTAAAACGATAAGAGAATCAATTATTTTTGTATAAGTTCACGCATACACATACACACATGTACGCGCACGCGCGTTCGCAGAAAGGTTCGAAGTTCACGAATAACTTTGAAAAAAACAAATTTCCCAGGGAAAATTAAGAGATTGGTATATTTAAAAAAAAAATTAATTTTACACAGTGATTTTGAAAAACAGAGATAGGAAGGAAGTGAACATTGATCTTGAACTCCAGAAGTAGGACTAAGTCCTCGCTTGATTGATGAAGTAATTTTAGGTGTTCAGTTATGTCTAACCTCGACTGTATTCAAATTTCAAAATGAACTATATCCACAAACGAATGAGGTGGCAATAGGATCACCAATATCCCAAATAGTAGCGGATATATTTAAGGATAATTTAATAATAATAATAATAATAATAATGATTTACTTTATTCCAAAAACAGTACTTGTGATACAGAATGGAATTTTCAGCATTAATCACAATAATATTGCATCTAATTTCCTCAAATTATAAATAAAAATTAGTCACACAGAAAATTTTCCACATTTGCAATAGGGGTAATGTCAAAAGAAACATGCAGCATATAAAATGGAAATAATAATAATTATATCAGCTAAGGTAATGATAATAATACAAGTGAAAATTGACGTGAGCTTGCTTCACACAGTATTGTCAATGTGGTGTACAAATCCTTGCATGATTAAAAATGTTGCATATAATGTTCTCTTTACATGATATGGTGAGGGAAAAAACAAAGATTACAGCAGTCATAGAGATAAGTTGGTGTTTGCAGTTATGAAAGTAAAAACAAAGAAGCAACAGGACCATAAATATAATAGAAATAATAAAAGTAAAACTTGAAGGTATATAAGGATGGATGGATGGAGGAGATTGTTTATTTACTAGATGAAAAAAGGTTAGTCAATTCTTGCCTGACGTTATTTTCATCACATAAAATACGTACGTGCCAGGTATGGTATCATAGAATTTTTATATTTAGACGTGCGACCATACAGTTTTATGAAGTTGGGAACATAAGGCTCTTAGAACATTTAATCCTGCTACTCCTAGGTTATGGTGAAGATATGTGGATGACACATTCCATCACTGTGCTGGAATCTTAAAATATTCCTCAATAGTAGACGGATTCCAATTCACTTCCGAGTTAAAAAAGAACAGGGTAAACTGGCTATGCTAGAATGTGGAATAAAACGAAAACAAGATGGTGGGTTAGATGGATACTAGCATGCATAGGAAACCGACACACTCTAATTAAAACTTAGACCTTGTTTTTGATTGCACACTAGTCAGTAACTAGTGTAATGTGTCTAGTCCTATCTTCGGTGCAGGCTGAATTCTATCAGTCATGTTTGCAATGTAGCCACCATGCTAAGTGGCTCACCATTGCGGTGCGCTGTGAATTGTTGGTATTAGATAGTTGGAGGCAATCGGCAGGAAGCCTTGGACCGAGGTTTCGTGCTAGTTAACACTCACCAGTCAGCAAGGCGTATCTGCAACCTTGAAGGAACTGATGTCCCTTCTGAGATTCAAACTCGCATCACCCAGTCCTGCAGTCAGAGACGTTGCCACTGAGCTATTCAGGCTCGCGACTGACCTCCTGTAGGACTGTATTGGATATTTTTGATTGCACACTAGTCAGTAACTAGTGTAATGTGTCTAGTCCTATTTTCGGTGCAGACTGAATTCTAACTACCACGAAACCTAGGTCCAAGGCTTCCTGCCGATTGCCTCCAACCATCTTATACTTAGACCTTAACACATCATATCCAGAATCGGTGGTAAAGATAGTTTTATTTAAATGTCTGTATAATCGGGCCAAGAGCCTAACTAATTGGTAAGTCACGAGATTTAAATAATGAAATCATACAAATAAAGGAAGTATTACTAGGGAATCACTAACTACCCACCAGAATTTATTTATAAATATGTGAAGAACCACAGAAAAAGTAAGATTAGCAATAAAAATAACGAAAATTGTATAGAATTCAAAGCTTCTGTAGTACCGTCGTATAAAAAGGAACGTCAGAGGCCTTAAGTAAGATTCTCAATGACGCTGGAATTAGGGTGGCACTTAAACCAACCAACTCACACAGAGACAAACTTTGTCGGCTTAAGCTCCCGCCTAATGGGTCCAATTAAGAAAAACAATATAATTTAGCAAATGCCATATAATGACTGTAACCTCGCCTAGATTACTAGGTCACTAGTATTCTAGCCGGTCCCAAGCCCGGATAAAGAGGGAGGGTTGGGGCGTGGTGATAGCAACTTCACCCCCAAAACTTAACCAAATTGCTACGAAAACTTCAACGCACAAATATATTCAAAATTCTAAAAATACAAACAATGACCTTATCTTTCGGTAGAATCGGGGAAGTGAAATGACGCAGGCTGGTGAAAGCCTTCGGGAAGCCAGTCAGCCGATGTGCCTTCTTTCGATGAAAGCAAAAATAAGGATGGGGACTTGGAATATTCGTACAATGTACGAAACTGGAAAGGCTGTTCAGGTAGCCGCAGAAATGAGGAGATATAAAATAGAAGTGTTGGGAATCTGCGAGAGCAGATGAACGGATGCGGAAGGTGCCAACTACCAACTGGAGAGACAATAATCCACTCCGGTCACCCAGAGGACGATCACGAGCACACCGAGGGAGTAGCCATCATGATGTCACCAACAGCGGCTAAAGCTCTCATGCAGTGGGAACCAATCTCCTCCAGGATAATGACAGACAGGTTCAACTCAAAAGGAAAGAAGGTTACAATCATTCAATGTTACACACCTACAAACGTCTCAGGAAAAGAGAAGAAGGAGGATTTCTACAGTCAACTACAAACAGTAATGGGCAACGTCCCAAAGAGCGATATCAAAATCCTGATGGGTGATATGAATGCAAAACTGGGAGGAGACAATATAGGAAGAGAACTCACCATGGGTCGTGAGGCACTCGGTGAAATGAACGAAAATGGTGAACTCTTCTCAGACTTCTGCGCCTTCAATGATTTGGTGATTGGTGGCAGTGTGTTCAAACACAGGGATATACACAAGGCAACATGGATTTCACCAGATGGACACACCAAAAACCAGATAGACTTCATTTCAATCTCAAGGAAGTGGAGACGGAGCCTACTGGACACAAGATCGAGGAGAGGAGCAGATGTGGGTTCAGACCACTATCTAGTACAAGATACTTTCAAGGTGAAGCTGAAAGCCTCGAGGATACCTGGGGATTAGCCACAATGCAAGTTCAACACGCAAACCTGAAGGACACAATCACACAGGACGTTTTTACTGCAACTGTCAGAGCAAAGCAGGAAACACTACGCGGCACCACTGAGGAGTCATCCGTGGAAGACCATTGGAACTCTCTGAAGGTAATTTTCAACGAAACGTGTTCAACGGTTTTAGGAAGAAAGAAGAAACAAGACAAGGAATGGCTCTCAACAGACACTTGGAAACTAATAGAGGAGAGGAGAAAGGTGAAAGAGAAAATGATTCAATGCAAAGATGGACAAGAGAAAGAGACGCTGAGCTCAACTTACACAGCACTGGACAAAGAAGTGAAGAAGAGTGCCAGGAAGGACAAAACACAATTCTACGACAACCTGGCTACTGAAGCTGAGAAGGCAGCAGGCAAAAGGGACCTAAGGACACTATATCAGATAACCAAGTCTCTATCCGAGAAGAGATCAACACAAGTGAAACCTATAAAAGACAGCCAAGGGAACCCAATTACCAAAGAAGAAAGACAGATTAAACAATGGGCGGGTCACTTCAAAGGACTCTTGAACCGACCACCACCTGCAACCCGTAGAGAAATACCAACAACAGCACGTACACAACTGCAAGTTGACACCAATCCTCCAACGAAAGCTGAAGTCTTGGATACAATCAAGCTTCTGAAAGCTGGAAAAGCAGCTGAACCAGATGGAATACCCCCTGAAGCACTGAAAGCGGACCCAGAAACGACAGCAGCAGCTGACTCCATTATTGCAAAACATCTGGAAAGAGGGAAAGGTGCCTACTGACTGTAGGAAAGGTTACCTCGTGAAACAACCAAAAAAGGGCGACTTAGGACTCTGCAAGAACTGACGAGGAATCATGCTCCTGTCGACGCCAAGTAAAATCCTGAGTCGCATCGTCCTGGAAAGAATAAAGGATGCACTGGATACAGAACTCCGACCAGAACAAGCTGGATTCAGGAAAGGCAAATCATGTTCTGACCAAATTGCAACTCTACGCATCATCATCGAACAAAGCATGGAATGGCAATCAAATCTCTACCTCAACTTTATAGACTTTGAGAAGGCCTTCAACAGCGTTGACCAAGAAGTAATTTGGAAACTACTCATGTACTACGGCGTACCCCAAATATTCATCAACCTTATTCAACAGCTGTACGACAACGGCACATGTCAAGTGATTCACAATGGAAAACTCAGCGAGGCTTTTGGAGTAAACACAGGAGTCAGACAAGGGTGCTTATTATCACCAATGATATTCCTAATTGTGGTGGACTGGATCATGCGTCAG